TTGGTAATGTATCTCAGAATCCCATACTGGGTTTCAAAACCAACTCATGGAGAGATTGCACAGTCTGATACACATTTGCAAACCTACCAATAAAATCTTTACAGAAAACAAGATGTCAGAAAATCAATATAAGCACTCCTATGAACTGGGTGCCTAACTTTGATCAAGATCTGAAGCTAATAGAAAATCTGTTTAGTTCAAAGTTATCAAATCAAAAACAATACATAAAAAATACATTAAAAGCAAAACATTTCATCCACATTTTAAAAAGAAAATTATTCTAAAATATATGTATTCTGTATTTGAAAAACAGTTCATTTGACAAATGAAAACTCACAGAAATATGTTTCAGCTATTAGAATGATAGAGTTTTTATAATACTAGTTTAAAAACGCGCTTCAAAGATTGCAGTGTTTGAAGATGTAGATTTTCAGGAGGCAACAGTACTGTTGACTTCTCCCTCCACTGGACACCAACTATTTAAGTTGATTTGTATACAAAGCAGAGCTTGCAACATGATAGCTATTCATAAAGGGTGTTTTTTTTTACTTTTCATATAATACAGTAGTCACACAATGAGGCAGTTCATATTTGTCTCAGTGAATCATTAATTTTTGACAGACACCTGTGCAATGCATGTTTTATGAATCTATTCACGTCTAAATGCAGCACTTTTTTTTTTGCAATGAGGCATTTGTTTTTATACTAAAATATCTGAATTACTTTGAATAAAGCTGGAAATTATGTCCCTTAAAATAATTAAACAAATAAGGCACCAATGTTTTTGTAAGATATTTACATCTTTTAAGGACATTCGGTGGACTGATTCCCCACTGTTGGTTCAACCCCAAAACTTGTTTGTATTCAAAATTAATTATGACAATGCATATTTATATTGAAACAAATTATGATAAAGGGAATTATATTATATAACAAAGGGCAAGGTCATCAGAGTTCAACTATGTTTTAGTAACTGTTCAGACGAGTCGGTCAGTCCACCTTCCATGCCATATTGCTGACATTGTAATATTACTCAGCACTGAAAAAAAAAAAATAATTTTGTATTCTGTGAAAAGCTGTATCTGCAATCATTCAAAACGTATTTGTACTCAATGACTGTTCAAAGTTCCCTGTGGTAAACTAAGTCACCATCGCCATTATTTGAAGTGTTTGATTCAGACTTTCTTTTTGAAGCGTTTTTCATTAATATTTGGGCAGTTATCTTGTTAAGTTATTACTACAAGCTGAAATTTTTTTTTTGTAATATTAAGGTTATGACAAAGTATACATTTGGGAGTATGAGGTTGCACTAACTGATTTTATGGCTTAGGGGCTTAGGTCTGGTCAATATGATCACCATACAGCCATTCCTGGTATTTTCTTGATAAACCTCGTATGGCAGCTACAAATCTAGCTGCTAGTAATAGTATATGTTACAGATGAAATTACAGCATTTTTAAAAACTGAATTCACATTGCAAAATTGACTGAGATAAGGTCTGATAAGTTGCTACTGAAATAAACAATATATATATACACATTAATGTGTACAGAAGTGGATTGGCCAAGAGGGATTGCATGTATGGAATGCATGTATCACTCTGTATCACTCTGTATCACATGGTAACTCCTTTGTTGTAACTGTAATCGTCATGGTTTAGATAGTGCAAAGTTCTCCCCAGGGCATTATAGAGTAGGGGTTTCCAACTGTTTAATTTTTGATAAACATTAGAGCAAATTGAGCATAACAATAAATACAATACATGGTATGAACATATTTTATTGTTATGCAAATTATTCAGTAAAGTGTGTTATTTTTCTGGGGAGAAGTCTGCAGTGTATCAACATAAAAGTGTGAACTGTCGTAAATGCAATGTGGACCCTGTTTTTGAAATTATTGTAATATCAAGTGTAATTCTGTTTTATTTTATTTTGTAATTTTTTTGATTAACAGCATTACAAATGGTCCAAGAGTTAGTACTAGCACAGCTGCAACCACTGGAAGTGGTTCTCCATACGGGCATTTCAACCAGTCCCGAAATACCCAATCCTGGTCACATGATACCTATACTACAACGAATCGAGACTTTTTCAGGGAAAGGTATTTATGCTTTCTTTTTTAGGAGAGGGTGATCAGCTAAAAATAACAAATGTAATGGTTGCAATACAGTACTTTTTTTTAGCTCCGCTGTCGACTTTGTCGAGCGGAGCTTATCATATGAGTGATTGTCTGTCGTCGTCCGTGTCAATGTTTTACTTTTTCGACTTCTTCTTGAAAACTACAAGCCTGAATGCTTTGATACTTGGTGTATATGTACCTTGGGTAGACCTCTCTTAGGTTTGTTCATTTCATGTTGATATCTTCAATTCTCTAATTTTGGTGA